AGATTTGCAGAGCCTCACTATAATCTGAAGAAGTTCTTAGGGCTGAGATTATGATTTTCATTTTATAGATGATGAAATTGTGGCTGAGAAAGTTTAAGTGACTCATCCAAAGTGAAACACTTGAGCTCCACTTTCAGAGTCAGAGTTCAAACTTAGGTCTTTTGATTTTCAGTCCTATGTTCTTTCTCTTCTACCCAGTAACTCAAGAGGTAAGTAAATAGCAATTCAAGATAATAGTATAAGTAATGTTAAAAGGTATTAAAAGTGCCAAGTGGGTGATATAAGTAATAATTACAGGTGGAATGACCAGGAAGGTCACTGGTGGTAAACATCAGCCTACAGGGCCTCAAAGAGGAAGTGAGACTGAAATCTAGCCTTGGAAACTGGGTAGGAAAAGGACAGCAGGAGACCAAAGAGAGAACATTCTAGTGTTGGTGACAGAAAGAATAAAAGTACAGAGGTCAGAAATTGTAAGTCTTGTTTGGAGAAAGAAAGAAGAGACTGACTTAACTAGAGAAGAGAGATTTGTATTTAGGAAGAATGGTAAATAAGATCGAAAAAGCCCTCTTGAATTTCTGACTAAAAGATTTTGACTTGTACACAATAGAAAACCATGAAAGAGTTTTGAGTAAGGGAATGAAATTCTGAGAAGAGTGTTGGGCATGTTAATTTGTCAATGTGCATCGTGTAGGATGCATTTGTGTGAAAAGAGACCAGAGGTAAGGATCAATTAGAAATCTGAGTCAGTCAGGGAAAAAGTGACAAGAGCTGCTATTGGAATGGTAGCACTGGGACCATAAAAGGAGGCCAATTGGAATCAGCAAGCCAAAACAAACAATGCCAGAATCTGGTGATACAGGGAGAAAGAAGAGTGGAAGTTGCCTGAGAGTTTTCAGGTCTAGGTGAGTTGAAGACAGAAGATGCCATGAGCAGAAATGAGCCAAACTGGTAGGAAAACTGGTTCAGGGAGTTTCATTTTTCATATCTTGGGTTAGAAATAACAGTGGCAGATTTAAGTGAAAGTGTCCAGGGGGCAACGGAAGACATACAGCAGAGCTTGGGAGAAAGGTCAGGTTTAGAAGTAAGTTGGCATCATGGAATGGAAGGAGCCATGGCAGTCTGGAGATCTAGGGCCCAACCTCTCATCTGCCCCTAATTTAGTAATTCATAGGTAAGTCACCTCTCTGAGTCTGTTTCCTCACCTGGAATGTGAAGGAGTGCTCAAGTCCTACATGATCTCTGAGGAATTCTCAAGGACCATGAGTCAACTAAAAATAGTCAGTTGCATATATGTTCTCTAAAAAAAAACCAATAATCTGATGAGGGACTGTTATTAAATCATCCCCAAAGGCTATGCCTCTCTGACGGATCTCAGGAACTCTATTCACTTAGGACATAAAAAAAGAAAGAGATGTCAACAAAGAAGACAGGAAGTAATCGGAAAGATAAAAACAGAAGTAAAAAGATTCTAAATTAAGGGGATAAAATGAAGAATTAAAATTATGGTATTACAATAAATGGAATAAATAGTTATATGAACTATAACAAAGAACTAACACCTATATTAAATTAAAACTAAATTTAGTTATAAGTGTTGCACCCAGTGAGAAAGAACCAACCAGAGACTGATATTAAATCCACACAGGAGTTTAATACCGGCCGGGACCCGAGCTGAGCATCAGACTCGAGCCTTGACTGGGGGTTGACAAACATGTTTTATAAACCTTTGAGGCCAACAGTTTCTAGGCCCCCCTATGGGATGGAACTAGTAAAGCAAGCAAAAGGTACAGAAGCGGAACGTCCTGCTGTTAGAACATTTGTAAAACAATAGTTGATTAATTGTTATTTCTAAAGAGACTTTCTAAGGGGAGGAGGTTTTTAAGCTTCCTCCTTCTGAGTTCATCTAAAGGGCAGGCAGGTGGGTCAAGCAGCAATATGGAGTCTGTCTTGCTAACTAGGGTCCTTCAATAAGAATACCACTAAAATGCCAACTGGAGAAGAATGTAAACAACAAATATAAGGGAAAGTGTGTTCAGTCCCATGACTAATCACGTTCATGAAATTAACAGAATAGGAAGCAGACCAAGAGATGGAGGGAGGGAGGGAGGAAGAAAAGGAGAGGCAGTCGTAAAAGAATCCTGATGTGTTGTGTACATGTAGCAACTCCCAATAATAAATGTAATCATTATGTACTGCAAACATGTACTGATAAAAATTTTAAACTAAAAAAAATTAACAAAACAAATTAATTTTGAAACATCCAAAATATTTCTTACAAAGTTTGATGATAGAACTGCAAGGGAACTGGAACACTTATCTGTTATGACATTGAAAATCTGTGCAGTCATTTCAAAAACCACGGTCCATAAAAATGTTCATGCTCTTTAGTCTGATAATCCCACTCCTGGGAATTTATCTTAGAATTAGGAAATTATGGAAAAAAATCCATACACATTAAGATGTTAAGGACACAGAAAACAAAATATATTATATATGTAGGCAAACTGACAAAACTTGGGACATGGAAAAATGAAAATTGTTGTGTAGGATTTAAAAGTATGTATTTTCTCTTAAAATTGCCTTTAATGTTGTCCTAATGAGATGCTTAAATGCTGTCTTTATTAAAAAAAAAATTCAAAGAGGCCATGCAGTAGAATCAAGTGAAATACGTCAAAGAGAAATGTAGAGAATGGATCATTAGAGGTTTTGCTTAAGAGGTAATTTTGTACTGGTGAGTGCAGGAAAATAAGAAGGAACTCAGGTTCAGAGAGTTAAGGAGCAATTTTGTGTTGAGGAATAGCAAGGTTAAGGTATCAGTGGTAAAGTTTTGTATTTGCTGTTTTTAAGGTGCTATGAAATCAGTGATAGAAGAGACTGACAAAGATGAAGAGATATAATAAAAGAACAAGAGAGAGGACCCCCTCTTCTTTTGGGATTACAGGGAAGAAAGACAAGGTAAATAAAGAAGCAGTGTTATTTTGAATGAAGTAGAGAGAAATTGGGGTATTACATCCTCTGTTTTGCAAGAGGCAAAGTAACTTTCCTAAGCAATCACACGAGTAGGATGGAGTTGGGGCCTTGAGAAGGAGAAAAATACACAAAACAGTCACTACGGACATTTGCTAGAAATGCAGCAGGGTAAGATGAAGTTCCCTAGGAAGTGAAATTTTAGTGGGTCAAACCAGCCTTTATAGCATTGGCCCCAGGTGAAAGCCAAGGTGTTTAACTAAAGCTGGAGTACAAGGGAAGGCAGACCTGAAGTAGCAGACCAGGAAGTCCAGGCAGTTAGTCTCCATTAAGCAGAAGTGATGGAGGAGAGAGCAGGCTTACTGAGCTTGGCTGATGGGTAGGAGAGGTGATGGGCTAAAGGGAGACAATGGAGATGAGGAGCAGCCATGAGACTGGGAAACTAGTAAGCAGTGGAGAAGGCCAGTTCACTCTTTTTTATTAAATTAATTTTATTGGTACATTTTATTGGTACATTTTAGGTATACAATTCATTTACATTTATCATTGGGTGCTTGTACCTGTACATGATGTATCTTGGTTCTTATTTTTTTTCCCCCATTACCTGTGTGCACCCCCTCCACCCTTCCCTATTTCCACAGATTTCATTTCCATTTTTTTTCTTTTCTCATAGTTTTCCTTTCCCTCTTTTCCTTTCCCCTTCCCCTCCCTTCACTCCTTCGTCTTTGGACCTTTTTTCCTATTTCAAATTATCAATTATTCATTTTAATCATTTTAACCCTTATTTACACTACCAGTTTCCCACACTAGAGAAACTATTCGGTATTTACACATGTGTGTCCTATTTATTTCACTTAAGAGTATGGCCTCGATATGTATCCATTTAGCTATAAATGACTCTAGTTTTTCGTTCTTTATGGCTGAGTAGTACTCCATCTCATAAAAAAAAACACATTTTCTTTATCCAGTTTCCAGTTGATGGGTATTTGGGCTGCTTCCAAGCTTTAGCTATTACAAACTGTGCCACTATGAACATGGGCACACATATTTCACTGTGTTATGATTCTTTTAATTCTTTTGGGAAGATACCCAGCAGGGGAATAGCTGGGTCAAATGGGACCTCTAGTCCTAGTTCTTTGAGGTATCTCCACACTGACTTCCACAGTGGTTGCACCAGTCTGTGCTCCCACCAACAATGGAGAAGGGTCCCTTTCTCCCCACAACCCCACCAGCATCTGTTGTTTGTTGATTTCTTGATAGCAGCCATTCTTTCTGGGGTGAGGTGGAATCTCAGTGTTGTTTTCATCTGCATCTCTCGAATGACCAGTGATGTTGAACATTTTTTCATATATTTGTTTGCTGCTTTTACTTCTTTGTCTGAGAAATGTCTGTTCACTTCAGATGCCCATTTTTGAATTGGGTCTTTGAATTTGGGGGGTCTGATTTTTTTCAATTCCTTTTATATTCTAGATCATAGTCCTTTGTCTGAGGTACAACTGCTAAAATTTTTTTCCCATATTGTAGGTTGTCTGTTAGCTCTGTTGGTGGTTTCTTTTGCAGTGCAGAAACTTTTTAATAAGATGAGATCCCAGTTGTTGATTCTTTCTGCTAGTTCCCGTGCTGCTGAGGTTTTGTTCATGAAGTCTTTTCCTATGCAAACATCTTCAAGAGTTCTATCTTATCTTCCAGCAAGTTTAGTGTTTCTGTCTTAATATTTAGATCTTTAATACACTTTGATATTAGTTTAGTGCATGGTGATAGGTATGGGTCTAGTTTTAATCTTTGGCAGGTTGAAATCCAGTTTTTCCAACACCATTTATTAAATAGGCTATCTTTCCTCCAATGAGGGTGGTTGGCTCCTTTGTCAAAGATGAAGTGGCTCAGCATGTCTGGAGTGTTTCTGCATATTCTAATCTATTTCACTGATTCTCAGGTCTGTTCCTTTGCCAGTACCATGCTGATTTTATCACAGTAGCTTTGTAGTATAGTTTCAAGTTGGGGATTGTGATACTCCCGGCCATGTCTCTGTTGCTTAGAATTGTTTTAGCTATTCTAGGTCTCTTATGGTTCCAAATGAATTTTTGGATTGTTTTCTCTAGTTCTGTGAAGTGTATTGTTGGAATTTCAATCAGCATTACATTGAATCTCTACAGTATTTTTGGAAGTATGGCCATTTTCACTATATTGGTTGGGAGAGGTCCTGGGTAAGGAGGGTCTCAGATATCTAAGGAGAAAGAAGGAGATCTTTAAGGAAAGGAAAAGGGGCCCAGGAATACTAAAGTCATTTTTCTGTAGTCAGCCCCAATCCAAATATCCAGACAGAGAGACCTCTTACAACCCAGCAAGAATTTGGTATCACTAGACAAGTAAAAGATTGGAGACAGATCAGTAAGGGTGGGGTGAAAGAAAGGCAAGACTTGGATCTGACTCAGAAAATCAACTGGCTAGAAGACAATTTCAGAGGAAAGGGCCTGGAAATATAAGCCCACCCCTCCCATGAATGCTTGCAAAGAACTTCTCATTTTCCAAGGCTTACAAAAGATAGCTTCCTAAATTCCATGTTCTCACCCAATCCTATAAACCCATAAGTGCTGAGAGAGTGCTGGAGCAAGGAGACAAGTGAATGGGTGGGAAATTCTGAAAGGACCATACTAGACCCAGTTGCCTGGCCTGGCCTCAGAGTCCCTTGATGTGAAGGAGCTCGTTACAGATTTATCATTTATCTGGGAAGGATCTAGAGAAAGGGGAGAGACAAGAGAAGAGTAAGTTATGGACATCAATTTCTGTCACTGCCACATGCTCTGTACAAACCTGCTCTACCTCTGGGTACCAGCACTTGGAGCCATTAACTCAGGAGTTCCTCCCTCTCAGTCTGAACCACCCACTCTTTCATTAAAAACAGGAGAGCTATCAAACATGTTCTCAGCAAACATGTAAAGGAGGCCCAGTCCCATTCCTGTTCCTGGAACAGCTTGGGTCCTGCCCCTTCAGGCTTCCCAGAGTCCCCACCCTCCTGGCTGCTCACCAGTTCATAGTGCCATGCCTCCAGTGGCTTGTGGAGCCCTGGCACACAGGCTCCCTGAGATTGCACCCTATTTCAGCACCTAGGTAGGCAAGACTATCCTGTCTTCAAGAGGGAACCAGGAAGTGGGTGTGGGTGCTACACATGGCACATATGGCATGTATGATATGCCAGTGCAGCCTACTTCCTGCTTCTGGCTATCACTATCAGATAAATCAGACCAATTCTACAATTACCCCACCCTCTCCACCCCTGCAGTTGAATGCTCTTATCTGGCTGGAGAAATGCATGCCGTGGGAGGATGTGGGGGAAGTTGAGTAAGGAAGAGGACTGGAGAAGCCTTGCAGAATCCAGAAACAGGACTAATGTCCCTGGGAAAGGACAGAAACAAAAAGAAAGTAGAGGTAGTGAAGTAACCACTACTACCTTTATCTAAAAGGGAGAAGGGAAACGAAGCACTTTGCCAGGGGTCACTAAAGAAGACCCTCACCTCTGCCCCACACTCACTCCTTTTCCCTTCACTTCCCAGCTTCCAGTTTTACAATCTATCTTCCCTAGGGGCAGGGAAGCGGCTGTTGTGGGAGGTGCTTGCCCACCTGCAGCTGCTATTCTCAGGCAGGGACACCAGCGCCAGGGAGGAGGCAGCTGTGCGGGACTGGGGTCTGCCACCTCTGCAGAGGTGTTGGAACTGGCGTCGGTACTTGTCCCCAGTGAGTAGGTAGAGCACGGGATCCAGGCAGCTATTGGCACTGGCCAGGGGCCGAGTCACTTTGTAGGCCACGTTGACAATATTCAGCGTCTGGCAGTCAGCTTCCAGTCGCCTTGCTAGGTAATAAATGGTGCGCGTGATGTGGAAAGGCACAAAGCAGACAGCAAAGACAGTCAGGACTACAGTGATGGTGCGGAGAGAATGGAGACGAGAAAATGACTGTGCAGACCCTGGCAAGGGCTGATATAGGCGCTGGACCATGAGCCCGTAGCACACCAGAGTGACCAGACAGGGCAAGCCAAAGAGCAGCCCCATGATCGCTGAGCTAAAGTGCACGTAGTGGGCAAACTTCTCAGGCCGAGTGGTGTCATGGCACAGAATCGTGGTCCCCCTGGTGCTGGTTGTGACAAAGAACAGGTTGGGGACAAGGCAGCCGGCTACTACCAACCAAACTCCTAGGCAGAGAAGGGCTGCAAAACGAGGGCGGCCCCAGCGTAGTGCCCGCAGTGGGTGGCAGATGCCCAGGTAGCGATGCACACTGATGCAGGTGAGGAAGAGGACACTGCAGTAGAGGTTCCAATAGAAGAGAAAACGAATGAACTTGCAGAACCCAGTGCCAAAGGGCCAGTGGTTGCGGGCTGCATAGTAGTAGACGAGGGTGGGCAGTGACAGCACATACAAGGTGTCTGACAATGCCAAGTGAAACATGTAGGTGGCTGTTGCATCCCAGGGTCGGAGTCGAAAGAGGAAGAGCCAGAGAGTTGGGGCATTGAGGCCCAGGCCCAGCACAAAGACAACTGTATAGCTCACAGGCAGCAGGATGAACTTGAACTCCTCATTAAACCAGCAATCCAGCTCCACCTCATCTTCTCCAAGACCAGGGCTGGGGCCCAAGGAGGTGAACAGCGAGGACTCTGCAGTGGCCATGGCCTCCTAGAGACAGAAAGGGCAGAAGTAAGGGTGGCCGGATTTCCCTGGTGCCTCCCCCATGGTGCCTTCACCTCTGATCCTGCCCTGGTCCCAGTTCCCTGTACTGTATGTGCCCCTGACACCTTCCCTCCACCTGGATATACCCCAGGAGCTTCATCACCACCCTTGCCCAAGAAGTTTGGCACATCTCCTACCTGCTCCCTTTGAAGCGGAGCCCAGTTGACTCTGTCACCCTTTCCCTTGGAAACCAGAGGGCAAATTCAAGGGGGTGGGGCTTAGGGCAGGTCCTGTCCCTCCTCCTGTCCCATCTCTGGAGATCATCACAGCTAGAAAGGACCTTGGAAACTATCTAGTCCAACCCACTCAGCATACAGATTGGGAAACTGGAACTCAATAAGATTATGATTTAACTACTTCGAAATGATTGTGGGAGGGAGTACTGTACACAAGGACACATCCAAGTTTACAGAAGAGCCAGGCCCTGGAGATAAGTAAATTACAAGAAGATAATATAAAACTGTGGAAGCAGAAACATGGGAAATAAATTTTAACATGGGGAACTACAAGACAATACATTGAAAGATTTTAGAAAATCTAAACTACAAAGGTTAATAAAAAATATGGTAAACTTTATTACAATAAAGCATATTGTCTTTAATTCTCCTCAAAATATTCCTCCTCACTTTGAACATACTTATTCCATTGTTCTTGCCATTTACTGAAGCAGTTTTGGAACCCCTATTTTATGAGTGTAATAAATTTATGAGGTGTAATAAAAAATACAGTGAATGCTGTTGCTGAGTGCCATGCAAAGGAGAGGAAAGCTCAAAAAACATGGTGTGCCCTCATCCACCTTATTCACTGGATCTGGCACTGCATGATTTCTGGCTCTTCTCCAAAATCAAAATGATCATGAAAGAAATGTTTTGATTCCTTCAGGACAGCAAGGTAGCCATGACAGCACAACTAAAAACACTCATGAAAGAGAACTTCTAGAACTGCTTCAGAAAATGGCACGATTTGTGTAGAGATGGGAAAGGGATCTAGAAGTGGGGGAGGTGGAACAAGGTGGGGGGGAGTAAAAAGGATCAAGATTCTATGTGTATACGTATCACAAACACGTGCTAATAAAAATTATTTTAAAGGTAGCAAGAACAATTAGATAAGTGTATTTGAAATATTGGGGGTATTTTGAGAGGGATGAATGGCAATGTGTCTTTTACTATAATAATTTTTTTAAAAATTAAATATAACCCTATTTTTGGCCACACCTCACACATTTTAACTCCATATGCTAATAATTATAGCAAATGTTTATACAGCCTTTACTATGTGCTGAGTACTGTTCTAAGGATTTTATAGTTATTAATACCTCACCAACTATGTATGAAGTAGGTTCTATTATTGTCCCTACTTTGCTGAAGAGAAAAGTAAGGCCTGGGTAATTTATTTTGCTAATTAGTGGTAGAATCAATTTTTGAAACCAGGCAAGCCTGCTTTTGGACCAGACTGTAGTATCTATGACTTACATTGGCATGCTTAGTTGCCCCTCTAAGCAACTGGCCATGATCCATGGAAGGATCAACAAATATTTACTGAGAGCCTTCTGTGTGCCTGGTCCAGCTCTAAGCACTATGAGTGAACAAAACAAACACTACCTCCTAATCTAGTGATGTGTACATGCTGCTGGGGGTTAATAAAGTTAATGAGTAAAATATGCAGATTGTGATCACTGTTACAGGGAAAAATAAAGGAGGAAAGGGAAATAGAGAATGACAAGAGGAAGAGAGAATTGCTGTTTTAAATACTAGGGTGATTTGAATAAGGACAGGGTACTGTGAGGAAGGGGAAACAGAAGATGAGGTCAGAGAATTTGTCAGGGACCAGATCATGAAGGTCCTTTGAGGTCATTGTAAGGGTACTGGATTTACTGAGTGAACAGAAGGCTTATAGAAAAAGGCTTATAAGGGGCTGGGGATTTAGCTCAGTGGCACCAAGCCTGCCTCAAAAGCACAAGGTCTCATGGTTTGGGTTACACTGTAGAGGGCCCACTGGCCAACTCTATGCTGAGAATAGACTGCAGAGCTGGAGGCATGGGAATGATTAGGCAAGAGACTGTTGCCAATAGGGATGATGGTAACTTGGACACAGTAGCAGAGATGACAAAAAGTGGCTAGATGCTGGATAGATTCTGAAGGAGAGACAAGATTTACTGATGTGGGGTGTGAGAAAGAGGAGTAAAAAATGACTCCAAGGGAAAGATAGCCTATTTTAAAAATGGTCTTGGGAAAACTGGCTATCCACACGCAGAAGATTGAATCTAAACCCATGTCTCCCACCAAGTACTAAACTAAAAAATAGATTAAAGATCTAAATATTAAATTAGGAGCATTTAACCTGCTGGAAGATAAAATACGTAAAAATTTTGAAGTCATAGGCATTGGCAAGGCCTTTCTGAACAGGGCCTCAGTTGAACAAAAAATAGCACCAAGAATCAACAAATGGGATAAGATCTGGGCATGGTGATGCATGCCTACAATCTAACCACTTGGGAAGCTGAGGCAGGAGGATCACTGTGAGTTTGAGGCCAACCTGGGCTACATAGTGAGTTCAAGGGCAACCTGAACTATATAGTGAGACTCTGTCTTAAAAACCAAAAAAACAAACAAAACAAAAGGGATCATATCAAATTTTAAAACTTCTGCACAGCAAAAGAAACAACCCAACATAATGAAAAGAAAACCTACAGAATGGGAAAAATTTTGCCAGAGATTCCTCTAACAGAGAACTCATATCAAGAATATACAAAGAACTAAAAAAAATTAGACCCCCAAAATGGAAGACCCAATCAAAAAATGGGCAAGCAAAAGGAATAGACACTTCACAGAAGAAGTACAAATGGCCAATAAATGCATGAGGAAATGCTCAACATCACTGGCCATTAGAGAAATGCAAATAAAAATAACACTGAGATTCCATCTTAGCCCAGAAAGAATGGCCATCATCAAGAACTCAAATAATAACAAATGCTGGAGAGGATGAAGGGAAAAAGGAACTCTTCTACACTGTTGGGGGGAATATAAATTAGTACAACTACTATGGAATAAGTGTGGTAATTCCTCAAAAAACTGAAACTAGAAATTCCATTTGATGAAGATATTTCCCTTCTAGGCATGTTTCTGAAAGTGTTGAAGATATCCTATTACAGTGATACATATATGCCTATGTTTATGTCAGCACAATTCATAATAGTTAAATCTTGAAAGCAGCCCATATGTCCATCAATAGATGAATAAAGAAAATGTGTTTATACACAATGGAGTACTACTCTGCCATAAAGAAGGATAAATTTGAGTCATTTGTAGGAAAGTGGATGCACTTTGAAACCATAATGGTAAGTGAAATAAATCAAACACAGAAGGTTAAATATCATATGGTTTCTCTTATATGAGAAACCCAGAGTAAAAATAAAGAGCAAAATAAAAGACAGATAATAAGAAGTAAGGAGATAGATCATTCTCAAAAGGGAAGAGGAGCAAGAGATAGAGGAAAGGGGAGAGAGAGGAGGTATAAGGGATGAAATAAATGGAAATTGAAAGGTGTTATATACATGTACCAACTCGACACAACAAATGGAAACATTATGCACAGCAAACGTATTTTAAAAAGGAAGGGGATCAAGAGATGGGTGGAAGGGGGGAGGGAAGGGAAAGGGGATGAAAAAGGAATTAAGATGTATAACGTAAATGTACCAACTTCCCACAAGGAATGTAAACATTATGTACTATGTACATGCACTAGGAAACTAAACTAAAATACAAAAAAAATTTAAATAACCCCGAGATTTCTGATTTCAGCAACTAGAAGAATGAAGATGCTGCTGACAGGTGTAGGGGAAGGCTGTGAAAAGAGCAAGTTTGGGGAAAGATGAGTTCATTTCAGCCTATAAATGCTGAGATGTCTAGCTGGGCATGGGTGCACACCTGTAATCCCAGCACTCTGGGAGGCTGAGGTCGGAGGATTGCAAATTTCAGCCCAGCCTGGGCAACTTAGCATGACTTAAAGAGACCCTAATTTTTCTTAATTTTTGTTAATTTGGGTTTTTGTTTGTTTGATTGCTTGTTTTTGTTTTTTGAGAGTGAGAACACTGTTTTTAGTTTTGTTTTATTCTTGTTTTTGTTTTCTCCTTCTTTCCTTCCTTCCTGTCTTCACCAGTTTCCTGAAGCTTGTGTAATCTTTCCCTGTCCTTCAGCCTTGCTTCTAATCTCTTTTTCTTCTTTCATTTCTGTATTTTTTTCCTCTTCTCCCTTTTAAATTTTCTTCACTTAGAGTAAAATCACTCTATTGAGTGGATATTTACTGTATATAATTTTCTGATTTGTCTTACATTTTGCTATATAACTATAAATCTTGTACATAGGGTTAAAGGTGGCAAATTACTAGTTATCTCACTTTGTCATTGTCCAATCTGTGTGTGATGGTATTGCTATTATTGATTGTACTACTTTAGCCAACCTGACATAGTTGTCGTGATCAATTTATCTTCCTTGTATCCCAATAACTAGATTGTCTGGGACTTATAAACAATACTACAGCCCAGTACCAAAGAACTGGGTGGAAGGCCAAACAGGCTGCAACCTTTTATCCCTAATAAATTAAAGAGGCAGGATCTTGAGAAAGACTCAAAATCCAAAAGCCAGCTATGCATAGAAAGCAACTCTGAAATATAATTTCCTAAAAAGGTCTCAATACTAGTAATAAAGTTACTTACAATAAGCAATTTACAATCATCAATGCAGAAAACAAATTTTTAAGAATAGAAAATGAGAAAACCTGGGAGCAAGATGCAACCCCAGACCTCCAGGTCACCCAAGGCAAATTCAGGGTGCATTGAGGTGGAAGAAATAAAAAACCACTCAGATGAACCTTCTGAAATGGTAGTGGCAGAAGTGAAAAAGCAGGTGAATTAGTTTCTAGAAAAAAAAACCAAATGAGAAATAATT